TTTAGCTCTGTGGTTCGCAGCTCCAGAGGCGCTAACGAGGTAAGAGCTCGTCAGCTGTAATTGAATGACTCCTGATTAAACTAGTTTCACACTGACAGGCAACATATTGCATCTTGTCCAACTTCTAATCAGCTGCTTCCGCAATGCTCCATGCAGATGTCTGCGTTCAGGGTCAGGAAAGGCTGTGGTCCAGGATAATGCTTTGTTTATTTTAATGACGACAGTGTGCATTTTAATTGACCAAAAGCCCCAAATAAGTGGAATGTCAAGAAAGAATTTCACTTTATTACTTTACACAGCTATAATATTTTGTGAGTCTAAAATCAACAATATAAGATTTCAGGCAATATTCATTCAGGTTACTTATCTCAAGAACAACTGAACAAGAAACCACATTTAAAGTGCTTGTCCTGCAGACCCCAGTTTCCTTGGTGAAAGTGTTCGTTACATTGCAACTGTTTACTTACTCTGGTCTGAAGAGATCTTCGGAAAACCGGTTAAAGTCTCACATTGCATGTTAGAAATGTTTTAAACCCTGAAATACAAACAGAGAAGTAGTAGCCTTTAAGGTGTCGCGGATAAATACAACAAAATAAAACAAGTACCGATACAAAAAAAAACCACACAGGGAAAATACCCAGGGAAACAGAGTTAACGATAAAAATGATAAAAACTAACTATAAAAACCCGACAAAAAAAAACAAAAACAAAACCCTGTAAACCATAAATTTCACACCAAATCCTCAAATCTTGCGGCCCGGTACTGGTCCGCGATTGGGGACCGCTGGTCTATATAAACCCTGCCATATTTAAAAGGTAGTGCAGCTCTGTTTAGTTATCCTGATGCAAATTTTAGCTTGCTCAACAGGGCTGAAAAGTTTGCCTAATGGTAGATGCCCAAAAACTGCAGTTTTTTTGGAGTTTGCTGTTACCTGCATTCTGTTTTCTTACCGCTCCCAATTCAAGTGTATAATCCCAGCTACAGTGGCCGCTGTGGGACAAATAACTCCGGCCACCATTCACCTGTAGTGAGTGCAGGCCGTCAGTCTGCTGTTTACCTCAGTTATCAATATACTGTGTGTCCGCCTCTCTTACTCTGGACCAGGCTGTAAAACTTGTGATACTGAGGTGAGTTGTTGCAGATATCTTGTCAGTAGGCGCTGCCGTTTCTGTCTCTGTTAGTTTTTATTAGCTTCTCTAAGCCAACATTAGTCTTTGAAGTGCATCTAACACTGTTTTACACTTAGTGAACAAACTCTCATACAAAGTGAATATGTAATGAAGCCGTTTATCAGGC